TTTTTTTTACTGAGGAAGGAAAAAAAGGCGATTCGTTCTTAATCTGTTACTCCAGGGAAACACAAAGAGTGCAGGAGGAAGTTCAATCATGCAGAATATGAGTCATTACAGGTCACCTCAGTGTGAACATAAAGCAGCTGACACAGAGTGGATTGGTGTCGTTCATGAAATTTCAGTAAAGTGGAATTTTAAAGTGAAACACTAAATCCAAATCAAAGAATTTATTTTGTGGTTTCAACACAAAAGTGAAATGTCTCCAAATGATCTTCATAAAGTCAGAGAGATCGGTCACCGTGTTGTGTAACGATATTCTTGAGTGTTTGTCAGTCGTGTCAGTTCTCAAGTCAGCGTGAAACTTTCATAATCACAGTTTCTTTTTAGTTTTCTGATCACTAAACCTCATTTTCAGTTTTACAGCAGAGAGCAGCATGTGTGAGATCTGCCACTGAAATGAAAACTCTGCGGTTATAGCGGACGCCCTGGACCACTTTCTCTGAAATGTGATTCTGTACTGTTCCCTGGTAATAACGTCACAGATGGGAATGATGTCAGAGTGGAAGAACTTTATTTACCACGAGCCCACATTGAACACACACTCTCGCTGGCAAGTAAGGATGTGGTTCTGAAATTAATACAAATAAGAAATAACATAAACATCTAGACTAAGATGTTCTGGAGACTAAGAATGTCAAACAAGACTAAGGTTCTGTTCAGTTTTCTGCTTGCAGAGCTGATACAGTTCCTTTTATCCCACATCAACCTTCAAACAAATCTGTTTTTACCTTTAACATAAACCTGTGTGGAGGTTTGAATTCATGTTTATCCACTTAGCATTTTTTGTTTTTAAATCTAATGCCACATCACCAATATGCAAACCACGGACTGGATCTGCAGCCAAATCTATTACCGATCACTCTGCAGACCTTTTCTCATACATACAGTACTTATTCCCATATATTTTAATCTGGCCGAAAACACAGTCACCCAATCAAATTATTTATGCAGAGGGTGTGCGAGAACAGAAACCGCGAAAGTTCAAAGAAGGGGAGGAAACTGCTGACGGTCCACAGATGCTCTGTTAGCCTCTGTGTTAGCAGCATGCTACGACTTCACCCTTCATACTCAAACTAGAAGTGAGCAGAGGTCAATGAATTTAATGTCAATGAATTTAAACTTATTCATTATGTATATTTTAACGTGATAAGTGGAGAACATTTTAACTGAATTATAAATGAGACAATGTTGTTTTTTTGTGGGTGACAAACTCACCTGTGACTGTGAGGTTGATGAAGTGACTGATCTCAGTGTGAACTCTTTTATTTCTCACAGGGTTCCTCACTGCTATGTGACACTCATACATCCCAGTGTCATTAAATGTGATGTTCTTCAGGATCAGAGAAACGTCTCCATCCTTCATCTCCGGGTCCTTCAGCTTTACTCTTCCATGAAAAGATGGATGTTGGTAGTTTTCATAGGAGCGGTTGTTCCTGTAGAAGTAGACGTAGCCGTCTGTGTTCAGGTCAGCTCTGCTCCACTTCAACACTGAGATTCTTTCATCTGTGATAATTTGACACTGGAGAGTGACATCATCCCAAAGCTTCACTTGCAAACCCATCTGTAGCGCTGAAGACAAAAATCATCAGTTTTTATCTTAATGCATCTATGTTTATTATTAATTTTATAATTTTAATGCATGGAACTGATGTTAAAACTGCACATTTGACATTTGCATCTGCTGTGCTGATGCCTAAAGGGAGCAGTCAAAAGAAGTGTTATAGAAATGTAAAAATTTTATCTTGAGATGCATTAACTCCTTCAAACCCACAACGTATGGGCCTGAAAACTGCTGCTTCAAGTTAATTTAAAAGATATACACAAACACTTTGATGAATCAATGATTATTATAACCAGAGTCACCATATCAGGCTTCCAGTATATAATAATTTAATGACATAATTATTATGTCATTTTAAATTACATAATAATTTAAAGTCTAATATAGTTAAATAAAACTATAAAAATATAAAAATAAATTAACTATAAATTAACTATAAAAATATAGTAAATTTGTCATCAGTCAGCTTGATTTTTTGTTTGTTGTTGGTAAATAAATTACACTCGTTTAAGAGTGTAGGGGAGTGAAGAGAGAGTCTGCATCTGTAAGATAACATGTATGCAAACAGGAAGAGAAAGTGAAAGGGACAGCTAATAAAGTATGAACCGAGTGTGACAAATGAATATTTGAACGAATTAAGAGAAAAAGACGTGTGAATCCCAGTTTGTATTTTTTGTTTATAAACTCAGGGATTGCAGTGATGCTACAGATTAACATGCTTATTTAATCAGTCAGTTCATGTGGACATAAGCAATGAACATTACTAGAAACGATAGAATTTTTTACTGTCTGTTGGAGGAAAACATCATCCGGCCAACACTTAAACCTTTACAAACAAAACCATTAACTGGGCACTAATTAACTTCCCATGTGAATTAAATGGAGCTCAGCTAGCATAAACATTGTTCACTTTACTCATGAGTTTTTGGTTTGAGAAGAAATTTTAAAAATGTGTGTTTCACTAACCTGCAGAAACAGATGCTAGAGGCAAAAACAGGAGCAATCTTACAGCAGCCATCTGTAAGCGGAGGGTGGAGAGGGGAGTAGCAGCAGCCTGATAGTGAGACAGAGAGGAAAGCCTACATCAACACCAAGCCTTTTATATAGCGGGGGACTGATCCTAATCTTATCGCTGAAACTGCAGCTGCCACAACACCAATTAGAAATGTTCATTTAACATTTTAGGATATTTATAACCAATCATTTTAACCTTAGAACACTATCACTGGGGGATTTTCACCCGAGCAAATATATTTACACAATTTTCAATATGTTGCATTTGTCATGGGTCCTTGCGTAGCTTCAGCACTGTCTTTGACGTCTTTGAAGGCTGTTTCCCTACCCCAAAGCCCACTTTTTTCCTACAGGCATCTGTTTGGGTTTGTTTGTTTCTTACTCTCTGATTGTGTAATAAAAGTATGAACATGTATTGTATGAAGCGCCTTGAGGCGACTTTTGTTGTGATTTGGCGCTATATAAATAAAATTGAATTGAATTGAACTGAATTATTTATAAGTTACACTTGTGTTTGAATCCTGCAGCTTATCACACATTTGATTTCCATGTGTGACAACTGCAAGTGTCCAGAGTGAGGACAGACTGAGGGACCCATTGCTGCACATCATCTGTGAGGCTTTGCACCCCTGATGATCCACCAGAACAAACTCAGCAGTGTGTGAGGAAGAGGAGGAGGAAGAGCCAGCAGCAGCTGACAGATGGAGAGAATAGACAGACTGTTCCCTGTTTGTGAAGGACTGCTAGGAAAGTTTAATAACTGTCTGTCCTGAATCAGTCTTATTAGGTAATGTTCAAATAATTTTATCATTCCAGTGTTTTCAGTGTGGGAGAAAGTACTCAGGGCCTTCAAGTTACACACTATGAAAGGCAGCAACAAGTTTAATGTTCAGAAACCTAAAGTATGTATCAGCAGCAGAATGGAGCTAAAAATAAATGTTTGTTTCAGTTCTATGAAGCTTTGAGTATTTTGGATTAGTAGCACTGCTGTGTTTGTTGCATCATATTGCTGTAATTGTTTATATGCTTTATATATTCTGAGGTAAGTTGATCTATAGTGTTACATCATATTCTATAAGGATGTTATGTGTTTGTGTACTTTCTGCCCAGTTTGACCCATTTAGCAGAAGTCAGCCTGTTTAAGGCTCTGATATCTATTCTGTATGACTTAAAGCAGTTATGACATGGTCTGATTTTCTCACCCAATAAAGGAATATTTCATATATCAGTCTACTCTTCATTTTATCAGAAACAGTTTTCACAGCTCGTACATTTTCTTTTTACACATATATGTAAGCATTGAGCCAAATTTAGTAATGCCAACATATTAAAAGAACAATATTTGTCTCTTATATATAATACATCTGTATATCCACTGTCAGAGATACTTGTCTTTGAGCACTGTTTCATATTCGTGTGTCATATGCTTATTCAGCTGATCTCTGACGTCTCAACAGTAGGTTGTGCACAGAAAGAAGGCAAGGCAAGGCAAATTTATTTGTAAAGCACAATTCAACAACAAGGTGATTCAAAGTGCTTTACAGAGACATTAGAAACAAAAACAAATAAAAAGCATGATTTAAAATTGATTAAAACAAGCAAACAAACAAACTAACTAAACACACACATTCACATTCACACCTGTTCGCGCGATCTGAACCCTTATCGTAAGGGGAGCTACCAGTCCTTCTGTGGACGAGCTACTTTCTATTTTAAATTCCCTGAATTTAAAATACTCTCTAGAAATGAAAGAAAGGAAAAGAAAATGAGTGAGTGCGCACAGACAGACGCAGAAAGTCTGCACAGGAAGTTTTTAACCTCCTATCAGTGAATCTGACGGAACTTTCAGGTTCTATGAAGCCAGCAAACTAAAAAGAAAACAAACCGCTCTGCAGTTTCCCCACCCTCCATGTCAGTTACTGCTTATCTGCAGTGACAGCTGGCAGATCACGCGATCTGTTTAAAGGCATGTTTACATGATAAATATGAAGAAAGCTCTTGTGTGACACTGCTGGAGTCAAAACAGGTTAACACTCACCTGCAGAGATGACCAGATGTACCAGCAGCCACATTGTCAAATTGTGCTGCTGATCCGACTCTTCAAATTTTGCTAATTATCCCAGCTTAAACTATGATGGGGTTAAAATTCAGCTTGGAAATAAAGCTGAGATGTCCGAGTGGGTAACAGTCGCGTTTGTTTTCAGCAGCTCAATCCGATTGTGTCAGGAGAAGGAGAAAATAAATAATAATAATATAATGAGGGCGGGGTCATAAACACGAGCGTAAATGCGACGAGGCTGAAGACAAAAACAAAAAGCACGTGTTTCAGAGCTGATAGAAGCTGTTTAACACGCTTTACTTTATATCTACCTGCCCATCTCTATTTGATGATTTCATATTTCAGTATTTCTCTTTGATCTCTCATCCTCCTCTGCCTCACACTGAGGACATGTCTGTAGAAGTTTGAAACTGAGTGTTTAGAGCAGCCTGAAGTTTTGACTTGCAGGGATTTCCTACTCTAACATCATTGTTTAATGTGACGCTCTAGAAGACGATGTACATCACAGGAAAGATGAAGCCTTTTTACTTTACATCTCTGCACCATCCTCGGCCACACAGTGATCATCCTGCATGGGTTTAAAAGGTAATGAAAACAAAAATAATGTTTTATTGTTTGAGGGCATTAAAGAGCACACGTGTCACAGTAGTAGAAACAGAATATTTCTAAGGACTAAGATGATGACTGTGGAAGTGGGCAAGGAGTTTAAAAATATCTGAAAGTATCTCTGAATATACTCTGAGTGCATTTGATTTATGTTTTAGAGACCATTCAGTTGAGTTATTAAATCATGTGATTATGTTTCCTGCCACTGAAAAATAACAGATCTTACAGTGTCTCAGCTTGCTCTCTGCTCATGAGCACCTGGGAGTTTCTAACACATGGCTGGTTGAAAGAGGAAATCTCCATTGTTGATGTGATGGAGAGAGAAACTGTCTGTGAAGTTTCCTGTAATAATCACACTACAAAACAAACAGGTGCAGACTGTAGTGACTGTAACCTGCTGAGAAAGTACAAGAATTATTTTTTCTGCATTTTTTAACAGATTTAAAAACAAAAAGCAAAACTTTTCTTAAATTTTATTAAGATACAAAACTGAAATGTAATCAATCGTCTTTCAGGGAGAAAGTAATTCACATTGTTGGAAATTTCCCAGAACACCAAGAGTCTGTGGGCAAAGGTAAACACACAGGCAAACAGATGCGGTGAGAGAATGATGAAAGGAAAGTGGAAATAACAAAAGACATAATTAAACTAAAACACACTGAACAAAATGTTGGGGGGCAACACCATGATGCAAATGCAAACAGCAACCTCTCAAACAGATTTCAAAAGTACGAAAAACTCAAAACAGAGAAGCTTTCAAACTGAGAACATGAAGTCTGAGTAAAAGCAACCAGAAACCCCCCAAAATTATGCAATAAAAAACTTAAAAGGAACTCAGTGCCTTGAAGTGGTCATGAAACAACAGCAACAGTAAAATAACAACAGAAACATAAAGAAACAAACAAAAAGAAAAAAAAAGTCCCAACTGTTACTATGAAAATACAGAAAATAAAACTCAGATGCTCACAGGTTATGCTGGGAAACAACTGTGAAACTCTGGGAAACAATTACGCTAAACAAACAAAAACAAAAGAGATGTTATTGTTAGAGTTTGAGTTTGTCACTTTGAGTGGGTATAAAACTGATTTGGTTGCAGTTTTAAATTTGTTTGTCTGCCCTGAAGATTTCATGTGGATATCTTCTGCACTTCAGGGAAAAAATGCTGGAGAAACAGGGTGAATTAATACTACAAAGAAAGTCTGTGTGTTTTTTCTAAATATACTAAAGTTATGGTGCAAAAAAAAAAAAAAATCAGCTGATTCTGAAGAGGTCAGGCGGGAACTACGAACACAGACACTGCTCCTTCTCAGAAGAGAGCACATCGCCCACAGAACTGGTCCCACCTGTCCTCCCTCTCTGTGTATTGCTCTCACGCACAATTAGCTTACTGTACCAGAAACTCCTGGACGTTTCAGACCAGCTGCTGGTTATCTGCCTCCATGTGCTGCTGTTTCTTTCTTTTAAATCTCCACATTGCCACAAATCCAGCTGTAATAACAATGACAGTCGCAGCAGCAGAGACAGCAGGAACAACCATCTGATCTGTCCTAGTCTCCACTTCTACCACCTCCTCTATTTTTCCATCTCCTGTTTTCACCAGTTTCATGTTTTCATGCGTTTCACCTGCAGAAAAAACATCAGCTGTCAGCGGAAAATCTGTCAGACACCAAAGCAGCAGCAAACCTACAGGTGCGCAAACCCAGGTTGTTTAAACTGCCGCGGTCACAGACTCTGCAGCCATAATCCGTGCTGATACCTCATGTTATTTTTGTGCATATGTTTTCTTACCTTCTGCACATATTGTACATTTAATCTCTGAACACATCTTAATTCAATTAATTGCACATACACGTGCATTTTTGTGTATTTCTATGCTGTATGTGTGACATTTGTTTAGTATGTTTTGCTTGTCTTTCTGTAGCACCGATGTGGGACAATACTACAATTTCAGTATACTATTGTACAAACTATGACTGTGCAATGACAGTAAAGAGCCGGCCCTACAGCAGCTTTAGCTCCTCATCAGAAAAAAGCATGTCTAGCATCTGTGCTAGCAGCATGCAATGCTACTGCCCTTCACATTCACACTGGAAGGAGTGAGCAGAGGAGACCATGGGAGGTACTCTTCATTTATTTGTCAAGTTGCAAGTGCAGAGAAGTGTAACCGTCTCATAAAGCTGGGAGACTGCGCAGTTCCTGTAGGTGCTGGGAGCCAACTGATTTTATTTTCAGTTTTCAGGTTTGTAAATGATGTGGGAGCTGAGCGTGAGCTCCACACACTCACCTGTGACTGTGAGGTCAATGAAGTGACTGATCTCAGTGTGAACTCTTTTACTTCTCACAGGGTTCCTCACAGCTATGTGACACTCATACATCCCAGTGTCATTAAAC